ATAACTAAACATATTTTTTCTTTTCAAATCATGATTCAATAACTCGTAAATTTAAAATATAACCCTATTATCAAATCACGATTTTAAAACTAAATCAAACACAACCTTAATATCTCTCCCGAAAACTATTCTTTACTTCATTTCTAATTAATAACGTTAGCGCCTACATATCAATTATTAATAATAAACTAATTAACATCCAACTCTCTTCCAATATTCCAAAAAGGATTTCAATATTGACTCGACACCACATTTTTTCAATGAAAATGGATTATGCAAGTGTTGTTGGGTTCTCATTTCAAAATTCAACTCGATAATTCAAATTAGTTAAAAGATAAAGTCTATTAAACGGGCTATATGTGCTCCAAAATACAAATTATATAATCAGATCACATTTATTTAAAAAATAAATAGGTACAGTTTTAAGAAAGTAGGCAAAAAAAAAAAAAAAAAAACGTCTTAACTGTTAAGATAAATATTATCTGAAAATGCAATTACCAATATCTGATTATGTTGCAATCCTACCACTAAGAGCATCTCCAACGGTAGTAGGCATTTTACCTATCTAAATATTACTATAAAGTATACATTTTATTTTGCTTGTCAATTTTTTCATGTTTCTACTCCAACCATGCTCTTTATTTTAGCTATTCATCCAAATATTATTAACTTCATAGAATGCCACATCAGCAACAAAGATGGAGGGAAATAATCTTAATGATTAAATACATTTTGCCTAGTCTTGAAGGCTAGCTACATGTAGCTAGTGAATTTGAGATGAGCCAAAATGCCTAATCATATGCCTAGTGCATTGGAGTTAAAAAAAAGTGAGTCATATTAGGCATTTTGACTAACAAACATCATATGCCTAGTGGGTTGGAGATGCTCTAATAAGCCCCTACAATTGCACATATCATAACCACAACAACAGCACCAAGAACATTTTTACCATCACCTCTTAGCCTTCGTTTGGGATGTGAATTGACTTTTTAACTTTTTAATTATTTTAGCCTGGAGTTAAAAAATTTCATTTGGGATGGACTTTTGGGCTTTTTGGACATTTACGAAAGAAAAAATAAAATATTATGGTTTAGATATGACATTTTATCTCATTGATTTTATAACCTGCTTTATCTTTTTATGACTAAAATAGCCTGAAACTAACATGCCAAACATAACCTTAAGAGCGCTTAAGGACTGCATGCTTGGATTGTCGTCTTCCATCTCCACGTCCGTATAAAAATAGCAGTAAAAATCAATCAACAATGATCTAGAGCTCTAAAAAGAGCTCTACTGAGCTAGCATGTCCCAAAAAAAAAAAAAAAAATTCAAGCTAAAACATCACACCAAGTTGGACCCCACACACCTCCACGTCATTAGTGCATGATTTAGAGCTCTTGTCCTAGAGCCCTCAGGCACTTTTCAAAATCAATTTATTAATCAAATGTGACGGATAACAGATTGTTAATATAACATCACTTCAGGAAAGACAATGAACAACTGAAAACCACGTGGCAATTAAGAAACTCGATTACGATTTCCACAAAATATATTACCTTGCTAGGTATAACATAAAATCATCTAATTAGTAAATACATCAGAAATAAGGATTAACAGTTTAAAGTAAATAACCTTTTGACTAAAGACTGATGATACATAAATAGAAAATTTATATAAAATTTTCATACAAAACAATGTGACAATACTGTTTTCTTAAATAAAACTCATTTTTCTGCGTGTTTTGTTTTGAAGTGATAGCAATGCCAGGTTCATGAGGATAGGATATGAGCACACATTAGCACAAACTGAACTAGAAAATTAGAACATATTTTCCTCCATAAACAAGGACAGCAACCAATTCCTTCTATGCTGAACGGTTGACCATACTTCATACTTAATCATACTTCTTTTTATTCGACACAAAACAACATATAAATAAAAGGAGTGTTGCTGAAATAGAAAAGCTAAGGTAAATGTGTGACAAGACTACAAAAGACATAGTTATGAATGAATATATTTGAGAATGGGTAGGAATAGTACCGATAGATGATAAGTTGAGAAAAAATAGATTGAGATAGTTTTGTCATATATAACGGAGATCAACAAAGCAGTAGTAAATAGATTCAATACAGTGATGGTAGATGGTAGTGTTAGGGAAAGGGATAAACCTAAATTGACGTAAACTAGTGTAGTAAATAGAAATATGAATCTCCTTAAATTTGATTAACGAAATGGCCTTGGATAAAGTTGAGTAGAGAAGAAGGATTCACGCAGCTGATCTCATTTAAGGTAACTTAAGGTTTAGCTTGGTTTGGTTTGGTTTGGTTTACAAAATAACCATACTTCTAGTTGTGTGTGTAACATTTTGTGTCTATTTTTTTCAATTATTATTTAACAAATTATTAATAATAAGGTTTTTTCCATGTGTGGTGTCCACCAAACAAAGGCAACCTTATTTTATTTTTCGGATTATATTGTTTGATATGGATTTTCAGGATTCACTTTTTAAAAAATTAATTTTTTTTATTTTTCATATTTTTTTTTTGTTTTCAACGAATTTTTTTAATATTCTAAATAATTTTTTAATTTTTAAATATACCTAATATAAATACATGTTAAAAGTATAATATTTGTGAATTTTTTTTTAAAAAAAGTTCATTAAATACCAAATATATATATATATATATATATGAGAATTCAGTATATTTTTCATATTCTTGTGTATTTATTAATTTTTTACAAATATTTTACTTTTTAGATACATTTAAATAAGGTATATCTAAAAAAGTGTAAAAAAAAAAAGGCTGAAAATTTTAAAAATATTCAATAAAAACGAAAAAATACACAAAAGCAAAAAAAATTATTTCCAAAAAATTGAAACAAAACACACTAATTACGTAATTTAAGCTCACTCTCAGATTCTCATTGAACTACTTTTTATTTATTTATTTTTTTTGATCAATCTCATTGGACTACTTAATTGCAAGTTTATGTGTGCAACTTGTGGATTTATTTATTTACTTTTGTAAATTTAAAGTTCTATTGGGTCAATTAGCAAGGTTAGTGAGTGTCATTTTCGAGAAGTATGCATTGCTTATGGCAATGCGACACACTCAATCCACACTATCTATTGGTTACACTCATCCATTACTGACATCAATGATATGAATTGAGTGTGATATTACCAAACAAGTATAGAATAATTTTTAGGCAGAAGCTCTTCTCCTGTCTACACAGTGAACTAGAGTGTGCTGCTGGTAGGTTCGTGGAGTCAATTACGTATCTCGTTTTGATAATTTAAATTGTTTACTTGTTGAGTACTTTATGTATGTGAAAAATCACATTGATCGGATATCAGTAGTCTCTTGATCAAAACACATTTTTGTCAATGGTAAATATGATTTTAAAAATAAATTGTTAACAAAAATACATTTTGATCAAGAGACTACTGATGTCCAATCAACGTAATTTTTTACAGGTATGAAGTACTCTACAAGCTCTATATATTGAACGATACAAATTATCGAAACAGAACTCATGATAGATCCTACAAATCCAACAATACGTTCTAATTCACTATGTGAACCGAAGAGAAACGCCTTTTTAATTTTTATATAAATAAGAATATTTTATTCTTTTTATTGGTACGTACGAGGATGATTGTTGTAATATCATGTTATTCAAATACTAATGACAATAATAACTACTATAGTGTAGAAGCAACAAATGAAACATGATGCGTTTTTTATATAACGAATTGGACAGAACTCTCACAAAATAAACAAGATCTGATTTAAACCTAACTCACAAGATTCGTAAGGAAAATTTTAATATCTCCCCAAAAAATCTCTTTCTTACTTCATTTCTAATTAATAACGTCAGCGGCTACGTATCAATTATTAATAATAAACTAATTAAGATCCAACGCACCTACTACGTCAATATTGGAAAAAGGATTTCCATATTGATTCGACACCACAATTTTTTCAATGAAAATGGATTATGAAAGTGTTGTTGGATTCTCATTTCAAAGTGCACTTCGATAATTCAAACTAATTAGAAGTAAAGTCTACTAAACAGGTCATATATGCCTCAAAAATACAAACTATACAATTGGATCACATTTGTTTAAAAAATAGAAAGGTACAATTTTAAGAAATTAGATTAAGGGATGTTTTGAAAAGATAATTAAAAGTTATTTTTTGACTTTCTTTAAACTTTTTTGTGAGAGAAGAAAGTGAATTAAAAATTAGAAAGTGACTTTTAACCCACTTTCCAAAATAAGCCAAATACAAGTTTAAGAAAAACCGACTTAACTTTTAAGATAATATTATTTGAAAATACAATTACCAATATCTGATTATGTTGCAATCCTACCACTAATAAGCCCCTACAACGGCACATATCATAACCACGACACCACCACTAAGAACACTTTTACCATCACCACTTAAGAGCGTTTCCAAAATTTACTCTTTTTTTTCTTTTTTTTTCTTTTTTTTTTCCCATTAAATTTGAATAAAAACTTCATTTGATACAACATGATCTAACGGAAAATTTGAGATTTCAACAAACCACCAGTTTATCGAAATAATAACGAAGGAAATGTCCGATCGATAGGCTTGTGTAAATTTATAAATAATTTTGCAAAGGGTAATCGACCAGGGAAACAACCGGTTAGACATCTAACCAATCATCTAGTGCTCATGCATTGTCCAACACCCACCACCTGTAAAGCTAGCGATTATCTACAATAATTTGATGAAAGGTTCCACCATCCTCAATTTGATGAAAAATTTAAAATATTCTTAATTTAATACTAATTTGATGGAGCCCTAGTTTTGTACGTTTTTCATCAAATTTAATTTGATGTTAACGTTGGAGCACTAGATTTGTAAGTTTTTCATTAAATTTAAATTTGATGAAACAAAAGATAAAAGGTTGGAGACACTCTAACACCACATTTGGCCTCCTTCCATAACTTTACCCTAAAGAAATTGATTGCTACATGCATATAGCAATAAAGAACTGTTTCGATCAAAAGGCCACTGAGTTGCATCAAGTGCCATTCACAATTCATGCTCAGAAACTAACATAATGCTCACAAACCTTAAAAAGAAAAGAAGAAGAAAAAAAGTACAAAATCAAAATCAAAATCAAAATAAAGATGGGAACCTCATAGCCAACAAACTGCTGTTGTCACAATGTATATTTAGCTTAGCAACTACTGCAACCGTAAAGACAATAGCTATAGGAAAAAGGCAAAAAGGAAAAAGTCATTGCCATAAACTGTTTTCGACAACTAAACGTTGTGCTTCCTCCTGATCTTGCCCTTACCAAAACCGCCGCGATGCTTCTTTTTAGCCAACTTGATCTTCTTACTCAACTTCTTTCCTATTTTACGGGTAGGTTTTAAGGACTGCATGCTTGGATTGTCGTCCTCCATCTCCACATCTGTGTAAAAATAGCAGTAAAAATCAATATATTAATCAAACGTGACAGATGAAAGACTGTAAATATAACACCACTTCAGGAAAGACAATGAACAACTGAAAACCACGTGGCAATTAAAAAACTCGATTATGGTTTCCAAAAACTATATTACCTTGCTAGGTATAACATAAAATCATCTAATTAATAAATTCATCAGAAATAAGGATTAACAGTTTAAAGTAAATAACCTTTTGACTAAAGAGTAATGACATACAAATAGAGAATTTATATAAAATTTTCATACAGAACGATGTGGCCATGCTATTTTTTCAAATAAAAACTCATCTTCATGGCTGTTTTCTTTTGAAGTGAGAACAATACTGGGTTCATGAGGATAGGATAGGAGCACACATTAGCACAAACTGAACTAGAAAATTAGAACATATTTTCCTCCCTAAACAAGGACAACAACTAACTACTTGGTCTCTCACCTTCTATGCTCAACACTTAACAATACTTCTTTTTATTGGGCACAAAACACCATGTAGATAAGATGAGTATTGCTGAGATAAAGATACTAAAGTGGATGTGTGGCAAGACTAGAAAAGACAGAGTTAGAAATAAATATATTTGAGAATGGGTAGGAGTAGTACCAATAGAAGATAAGTGAGAGAGAATAGATTGAAATGGTTTGGTCATATATAACGGAAACCAACAGAGTCAGTAGTGAAGAGATGCAATACAGTGACGGAAGGTGATCGTATTAGGGAAATGGGTAGACCTAGATTGACGTGGACTAGTGTAATAAATAGAGATATGAATCTCCTTAATTTCAATCGAGTGGAGAAGAAAAATTCATGCAGCCGATCCCATTTGATGGGATTTAAAACTTAGTTTGGTTTGGTTTACAAAACAACCATACTTCTAGTTGTGTGTAAGGTTCTATGTCTACTTTTTTCAATTATTATTTAACAGATTATTAGTGGTAAGAATTTTTCCATGTGCTGTGTCCACCAAACAAAGGCAACCTTCGTAGGCATCTCAGATGCCCAAATCACTTTCCAAGGAAAGGAAGATCCTTGACCACCCACCAAAGCTTCATAAAAATATTTCACCTCAAAACTTCTGATTATTGGATCTCCTCCACCTTGATGACTCTTGACCTTTTTTGTTTAAGAATCTTTCTTTCAGGGAGCTCCACTAACTCCCAATCATTCAACTCTCTACAAACATCAATATCCAAAACAAACTTGAGCACTTTTAATTTTGAGATAATCACCTATCTAGGCCTCTTTATAAACCACAATTCAAGAAAGAAGGAGAAATAGCTCTTCAAACTTTCCCTTCCTACACAAAGATGACCCCAAACCACACCCTCTTCACCATTCCAAACAACAAAACTAGTATGAACACAAAAACATTTCAACTTAGATGAATACCTTCAAAGGGCCTTTCCCTAAGATCAGTAACCTCCATCAAAGATAAATCACCCCATATAGAACCATACTTTGCTACCACTAGCCTTCTCCAATATCTATCGTGTTCAAAAGAGAATCTTCAAAATTAGTTACATAAAAGGGCTTGGTTGAAAATCAAAATCCAGCAAAATCCCCAATCTCCCCTCTCCAAGAGATACCCTCTCCCGGTTCACCAAATGTTACTTACATTCTTCTCCAAAGTCCCAACCCACTGTGACGAAAGTTGCAAATCATCTATTTCCTCCATTTCCACCCAAACCCTGTATACACCGTCACATGTTCAAGAAATCCCCAGTTAACAAGACAAGGACAACTCTTCACTCTAAAACTTTTCCAGTTATGTTTCCAACATTTGTCTCCTTCATAACAAAAACCCTTTACCTTACTCCTGAAACCTATTCGTCAAATTTCTAGACCAATTTCCAATACTACACTAAAATCTAGAATCTTTTGCAAGTAAATTTGTCATATGCTCAACTGGGTTTTAAAGAAACAAAGAGAACACCCATTTGTTAAATCCATTGTTGTGATAGCAGATGTATTATGAAGGATGTAACAACAAAGACATCTTCTTAGCCGAAAGCTTGCTTAACTACCTTCTTCTTCACCATTTTTTAATCATATTTTGCCAAAAAGTTGGGACATTTAAAGGAAAAAGAGTTAGAAAATCATAAGATTGAATTCAGAAAATGCTCATCCATTGTCAGATTATGTTTATATCAAAAATTTAAAGGCACAACACAAAGACACTCTGAATAAAGCATTAATTTGTAATAAAAAACAAATGGGTTTCAAAGAAATCAAGAAAACGAAGTACCCATGTTCCCTCCGGCGGCGGTGGCGGCGGTTGAGGTGGTCAGGTCCATGGCGGCGGCGGAGGCATCGCTAGGGTTGTGGGAACGAACGGGGAGTCTGGGGGCGGCTAGGGCGGCTTCTTGAGCAGCGAGCTTAGCGGCTTCCTTCTTGTCGTAGAGGGGCTCTACAATCTCTCTCCTTATAGCTCTCAGCCTCTTCTCTCTCTTCGATCTCAACGATTTCGCCATCTCTCTCGCTGTCTGAGCTGCAACTCCACTCGGGCTGTTTGGGGGCGTTAGGGTTTCGTTGGACTTCGTAAATGGCTTTTTTTGAAACAAAATTAATTACACTGTCCTCCTTGAATTTTTACAAAAATACAACTAGTACCTCAATTTTGAGTAATAACATTGAATTGTCTTAAGATTTTAATTTATAACACTCAGGCCATGTTTGTTTGAGTGGACATGAGTTTGGGATTGGACTAATAGTCCAATAAAATTATTAATCCGATGTTTGGTTAAACAATTGAAGTAGAGACTAATTATTTTAAACTTGACTATTAGTTAAGATAGGATACATAATCCAACGGATTCGTAGTTCTAGGACTATTAGTCATGGGAATGCTAATCCAGTCCGCCCAAACAAACATGACCTCAGGGTAACTTACAAATATCACTTAATATTTGCATAAAATACAAATTATTCCTTATGATTTTAAAAATTATAAATAACTTATTGTTATAATTTTTTATTTAATAGAAAAATAAAATCATAAACCATTTTTCTATACAATAATAAAATTATCATAACTACTCTTCAATCTCAATGACTTCGCCATATTCCTCTCCATTCCACTTCCATGCCACTTGGGCTATTTGGGGCATTAGAGTTTCGTTGGACTAATTTTTACAAATATACAGGTCCCTTAATTTTGACAGTATTAACACTGAATTCTCTTAAAAAAATTTATTGAATAAATTACAAATACATAACTTGGGATTTAAATATCGATTGTCTCATATAATTTTAAAAATTACAAATATTCCATTGTTAAAAAATTTTATTTAACAAAAAAAAAATGAAATTTCTAACTACTTTCCTATACAATAACTAAATTACCTGAATTGTTAATTAAAATATATTTCTAATATCATTAAAAATTATTAATTGATTTAATAATATACTAATAAACTGGATAATTTGTTATGCTATTATAAATTTGAAGGACCGTGATATAATTTTTAGAACTATAAGAGATAATTCGTATTTTAAACAAATCTTAAGGGTGTATTTATAATTTATTCTTTTTTAATTTACTGTCCTTGAATTTTTTGAAAAATAAAACAAATCCCTTAATTTTGACAGTAACAACATTGAATTCATTTAAGATTTTAATTTATAACACTTAATCTATTTTCATTAATAGTTGTTGAATAATGGTATATGTACCAATTGATATACTAATTAGTACACTAATCGATGATGTTGCATAATTTTATAGGTTTTGAGTTTTTCTAATTTGTATAATGGATGGACTCATAATTTTGAAATGATAATGCCATAGTATATATTGGTACACCAAAAAATAATCACTATGTTTGGTTTCAATTTTCTGAAAATTGAGTGTTTTATTTTTCGTATTTTTTTTTTGTTTTTATTGAATGTTTTTTAAATTTTAAGCAATAGCTTTACTTTTTTAGATGTACCTTACTTAGATATATTTAAATAGTAAATTATTTGTGAAAAAATAATTTAAAAAATTAATAAATACACAAAAATACGAAAAATATATTGAATTTTTGTATGTTTTATATTTTTGATATTTAGTGAATTTTTTAAAGATTTTTTTCACAACTATTATACTTTCTAAGTGTATTTATGTTAAGTGTGTCTAAAATTAAAAAAAATGCTTAAAACAAAAAATACGAAAAACGAAAAAGTAAATTTTTTTGAAAAATGAATTCTAAAAAATGGAAGCAAACAGAGTGAATGATATCTTATCTTTTACATTGATATTTTATTTTCTTATTTATCATTGTGTCTTAACACTATTTACATTAATTATAGTTCATTTATTAGTCTTATTAAAAAAATGGGATAATTATTCTAAAATTGTGAATCTTTTTATATTTTCTACAAACTTTTTTTTTTTTTTTTTTTTTTTGTGGTTACTGGAAAAGTTAAATGAGTCCTTAATTTTTTCTTTTCTTGTTTTAGTTATATAGCGATCCCGGGTTTACCCTTGTTGTACGGTGATCCGGACATGTGTCCGTGGATGTTGGTTGTTGTTTATTATCTAGGTTGCATCCTCTTTACTTTGTATATTGAGTTATAAGATGTGTTAGGTAGGCTTGTTACAGGTTGGTTGTGTTTGGGAGCCTAGTGTTGCTGCCTAGGATTTTGGACCTTCGCTTGAGCGAGGAGTTAGTCGCTCGAGCGAGAGTGGGGTTCGTATTTGGTGGGTCGAGCCAGAGTGGCTCGCTCGAGCGAGCGGTTGCACCTGGTTCTGGACCTGAGAGCTGTCTTTCTTGGCTCGAGCGAGCTTCCTTCGCTCGAGCGGTCTGGGTTTTTATTCGCTCGATCGAGAAATTCTTGGCTCGAGCGAGAGTTTTCTGTGTCTGGTCGCTCGAGCGACCAAGCCTTCGCTCGAGCGAGCGTGTTTTATATCAGCGGACAGTAGCGTCTTAAACATCACTTTTTCAGTTCCTTCCTTTGAGAAAAACCTAAATCCGACACCCTCTCTCTCTAAACTTGCACTCTCTCTAAGATTTGATCTCCCTAGGGTGTGAATCTAGCCTAGGGCCTTTGTTAAAAAGATAGAGGGCGTTGAGAGCTTCGATTTAATCTGAAAAAGTTTGGATTTGGAGCAAGTTGATCTTCGAGTCTTCATCTCCTTTTAATTCATACATTTATTTTTGAACTACTTCATTATGCATTTTTTTACTTGCTGGCATAAGATCATCTATATCATTTCCTATATCATTATTTGTCTCATACTCTTTTGACAACTAGTTTTTGATGAAATGATAATATGTAATTGATATAAAATAAAAATAAAAAACAACAGAGAGTAAGGCAGATGAAAATTCTTCCCGATGCTCTATCAATTAATCCACTACAGCCTTCTTTTATTTTTGTTAGTAGTAAATACTAAATAGTAAAAATTGAACCCTAGACCCAATCCCTTCTCTACTGGTATATTTTAAGTTAAATGACAGCTTTGGCAGTTCACTGCTAACTAAGGTTGCAATTATTGAAAATTTCATCTGATCTTACAATGATAAAACCAAACTAAGAAAATAAAACATAGAGAGAAAGTAGGGACAGAAAAAGTTATATATCCTATTAGATGAAGTTATATATCCTTTCACTCATTGACTTTCAATTTGAATTCAGAGGCAACAAGCTCTTAGTGCAAAACCAAGCACAAAACAGATAAGGTTTAGAGGCTCAAAGACAAGGCGTTCCGCCGAGGACTTCGGGCACTCAAAACGAACACAAACAAGCACGA